AATCTCATCGTGCTCTGTGCAAAGCATTCGGCGATGACGTGTTGTCCGAACGTCAATGCCGGACTTGGTTTCAGCGCTTCCGAGACGGTGATGAAGAGTTTGAAGACGAAAAACGCGGGAATCCGCCTCAAATTGTCGACAACGATGAGTTGAAGAACGCTATCGAATCGGATTCATGCCAAACAACTCGAGAGCTTGCAGAGCTGTTTGACTGCGACCATACAACCATTCTCCGCCATTTGCACGCATTTGGTAAGACGAATCGGTGTGGAAAATGGGTGCCACATCAGCTCAGCGACGCAAACAAAGCGGCTCGAGCTACAATGGCTGGAATTCTCGACTCTATTGTTACGGCAGATGAAAAGTAGATATGTTACGACAACACAACAAGAAAAACGGCAGTGGTTGACGCCGGTGAACCGCCAAAACCGACTCCCAAACCGAATATCCACGGAAAAAGGTGATGCTTTGTATTTGCGGAATAGTAAAGGTCTCTGTATTTTGAGGTGCTGGATTCGGGCCAAAGAGTCACGGCGGATCTCTACAAAACCTAATTGAGCCGCGTGGACCAGGCATTGCGTCGTCAAGGCAATAACACAGCGACTACAAAATTGCTTCGCGATAACGCTCGACTCCACACCGCAAAGATCACTCAGCAGAAAATCGAGGAATTGGGCTGGGAAGTTCTGCCTCATCCGCCATATAGCCCGGACTTGGCCCCATCCGACTACCACTTGTTTCGTTCGATGCAGCACTCTTTAGCAGAAAAAAAATTCAAAAACCGCGAAGAAGTTGAAATCTGGGTGTCCAACTTCTTCGAGTCGCAGTTGCCCGAGTTCTTCTAAAAGGGCATCCATTCTCTGCGTGGAAGATGGCAAAGAGTCATTGATAATGATGGCGAATATCTTTTGGATTGAGGTTCTGTATTAGGATTTTTATAATAAATTTTGTTTATGGTTCCAACGGAAGTTTCATCTGCACCAACCTAATATATATATATATGTTGTGTCCGATTTAGATTTCCGTCCGATTTAGATTACAGTCTATATCGGACGTCCGATTTAGATTTAATCTAAATCTTATATAGATTGAACAATAATACGTCTTATATAGATTGAACAATAATATAAACATGCTTAATATATGTTCTTAAGCGTTTTCTGTAGTTTTCTGCATTTTTCAAAGGTCTTTTATTGATTACAGTCTATAGTTGGGTTTTCTTTTCAGAAAAAGACAGTAACAGACCTTTGAAAAATGCAGAAAACTACAGAAAACGCTTAAGAACATATATTAAGCATGTTTATATTATTGTTCAATCTATAGAAGATTTAGATTGAGTCTAAATCGGACGTCCGATATAGACTGTAATCTAAATCGGACGTCCGCGATAAGTTCAATCTAAATCGGACGTCCGATTTAGATTGAATCTAAATCGGACGGAAATCTAAATCGGACACAACATATATATATATATAAAAGTTCCCAAACAAGGCTATTTTAGAGCGAGTCAGTTTTGCAACACGAGGGCGCGTTGTCGTGGATGAGAACGATCTTTGACTTGAGGGCCGATTCTCTCTTCAGTGAATCATTCACCTTTCCCAACTGTTCACTGTATTTGATTGCATTAACGGTCGTCTTGCTATTCAGCAACTCCCAGCTCGGTCGTCTTGCTATCCAGCAACTCCCGGCTCGGTCGTCTTGCTATCCAGCACACCACTCCATCCATATCCCAGAAAACGCAGAACATAAACTTCTTCTGGTGCAAATCGGGCTTAGGGTCACTTTCGGGTTTCTCGCCCGGTCCCACTCCATTGCCGCTTTCTCCGAAAGTTCACAGATAAAACCCATTTCATCTCCCGTCACAATTGAGGAAGAAAGCGATTTCCTTCGTATTGTGAGAGATTGACGGCACTGATCGAGGCGCGCTGCCACTTCTGGGGGCCATTGAGGTCATGGGGCACCCAAGCCCCAAGTTTCGATCTAAATCCAAAGGTATGAAGGTGCCTTAGCACTGTAGCATGATCATTTCTGCCTTCTGCTTATTTTACAGGCAATTTGCGGGTTCCCCTTTCGTGGTAGGATTTTGGTTTTGAATCAAACTTTCGAAACAAATCGAAAAACTTTCAAAGCCAATTTTTGACTGCTTCTTCCGAATCGAAGTGTTCTCCGGCAAGCTTCGGACGTTTTTTTTTTGTTCTGAATCTAACTACGATCTCAGTTTTTTCGTCACTGGCACAGGAGCCGCAGAAAATAGAAAATTGGAATTTAAGCGGTGGGTTTGCACCGGACTGTATTTCCCTCGCCCCCTCTACCCTGCCGTTCTATTAGTGGACGATCCTTTCAATTACAGTGTTTACTTTATGTGTTTTCGATAGTTTTTTTTATGATCTTTATGCTTTTTATGATTTTAAATAGTCGAATTTGATATTCTCCATCTTTTCTATAGCTTTTAGCTATAGCTTTCTATAGCTTAATAAGATTTTTCTCGATTTTATCACTAGAAAGGACTCGTGAAAGTCTCGCCGAAAAGAATCGATCACTTTTCTTCTTCTCTGAGCAAAAGAGATTACAACCGAACCGATTTCCGCTTTTATTTCGATTTCCACTGAATATCTTTTCATATATCTTTTCATTTTCTTCATTTTTTCATTTTTTCATTTTTTTATAAAATAATCATTCATTTACTAAAGGAAATCTTTTTTTTTTCAAAAAAATTACCGAAATCATTGTCAGCTTTCATTTAATCAGCTCGATTTTAATTCAGCGTTATTTAATGATTAAAAAAAGCTGATTAAATCAAGAATTTTGATCTAATACGGTTCCAATACGGTTCCAATTCGGTTCCTATTTTGATCTAATACGGTTCCAATACGGTCCCCATACGGTTCCAATACGGTTCCTTTTTTCATCTAATACGCTTCCAATACGGTTCCTTTTTTCATCTAATACGGTTCCAATACGGTTCCTATTTTGATCTAATACGCTTCCAATACGGTCCCCATACGGTTCCAATACGGTTCCTTTTTTCATCGAATACGGTTCCAATACGGTCCCCATACGGTTCCAATACGGTTCCTTTTTTCATCGAATACGGTTCCAATACGGTCCCCATACGGTTCCAATACGGTTCCAATACGCTTCCAATACGGTTCCTTTTTTCATCTAATACGGTTCCAATACGGTTCCTATTTTGATCTAATACGCTTCCAATACGGTTCCTTTTTTGATCTAATACGCTTCCAATATGGTTCCTTTTTTCATCTACTACGGTTCCAATACGGTTCCAATACGATTACGGTAGTTTTCTTTAAGCTTTTTAGAAAATGATTTATTTTCTAAATGAAAATGATTTATTTTCTAATTTTCTAAAAAATGATTTATTTTCTAAAAAATGATTTATTTTCTAAAAAATGATTTATTTTCTAAAATGATTTATTTTCTAAAGCGAATTTCACTTGTGTTTATCGAAAATTGGAACAAAATTGACGAAAAATTGGAACAAAATGAAATTGAATTCTTTCTTTTCTCTCAAATAGTCATTTTTGATCACATTACACGTTTGAGTCTCTTCTTTTTTTCAGAAATTATAAGCTTTATCATTTTCCCTACCTTAAATACTCGAATATCCTCTTTATCTAGATCCTCTTTAGCTAGATCGAAGTTTACTCTCAAATAAATCCTCATAGCTTGAAATGAGTACGTTTATTTTGAAATGTTTTAATATCGAATTAAAGTAGAGAGAATGAAGAGTTTTTTGAGTGTTTACACAGATTTTTCCCATTAACCAGCGCTTAGAAAAAATGCTTTGAAAATCGGCTTTTTTTTTACTTTTTAACTTTTGACTTTTTGAATTAACCCTGGTTAAACGACGCGACGCTTCTATATACTGTTCTATTAGATTTCTGTTAGAGTTCTATTACAGTTCTATTACAGTTCTGTTAGAGTTCTGTTAGAGTTCTGTTAGAGTTCGGTTAGAGTTCGGTTAGAGTTCTGTTAGAGTTCTGTTACAGTTCTGTTACAGTTCTGTTAGAGTTCTGTTAGAGTTCTGTTAGAGTTCTGTTAGAGTTCTGTTAGAGTTCTGTTAGAGTTCGGTTAGAGTTCGGTTAGAGTTCTGTTAGAGTTCTGTTAGAGTTCTGTTACAGTTCTGTTACAGTTCTGTTAGAGTTCTGTTAGAGTTCTGTTAGAGTTCTGTTAGAGTTCTGTTAGAGTTCTGTTAGAGTTCTGTTAGAGTTCTGTTAGAGTTTTTACGGTGTCTTTGATTTTTGTTGCTTTCTATTTTAGTTCCTTTTATAGTGGCTGGAAATTACGTGCGCTCAACATCTGAAATCGTTTTAAACAATGTATAAAGCATAGTGGGAGCCAGTGGAAGAGGAGCCAGTGGTAGAGGAGCCAGTGGAAGAGGAGCCAGTGGAAGAGGAGCCAGTGGTAGAGGAGCCAGTGGAAGAGGAGCCAGTGGAAGAGGAGCCAGTGGTAGAGGAGCCAGTGGAAGAGGAGCCAGTGGTAGAGGAGCCAGTGGAAGAGGAGCCAGTGGTAGAGGAGCCAGTGGAAGAGGAGCCATCTCAATTCCAAAGCTCGCTCGATAAGGAACCAAGTTTAAAGAGATTAGGAACCAAATTTCTTAATTATTAAATGTTTTTTGTTACAACTGTAAAAATAGATATTTTTACATGTTCTTTGAAAGAAACCATTAAATTATAGCGTTTTCTTTGTCGCTTTCTTGTCGTTTTCTTGTTGTTTATTAAATTATAGTGTTTAGGGCACGTAATTTTCAGCCAGATTTTTTATATTTGTTGTTTAAGTTGTTGTTTGTTGTATTGTTTGTTTTATTTGTTGTTTATATTGTTAAGTCAATCTTTTTATATTGTTAAATCAATCTTTTTATATTGTTAAATCAATTTTTTTTCTATTGTTAAATCAATCTTTTTTCTATTTTAGATAAAAGAATGCCAGCAATGACGGGCCTTTTGGCCTGTGGCGTATCGGTGTTATTTTTTGGATCAATGTTTGTACCAATTAAGAAATTCGATGCTGGAGATGGTAAGCTTTTAGAGCTTTTAGAGTGTTTAGAGCTTTAGAGCTTTTAGAGCTTTAGAGCTTTAGAGCTTTTAGGGCTTTTAGAGCTTTAGAGCTTTTCAGAGTGTTCTAGGCTTTTAGAGCTTTCAGACTCTTTAGAGCTCTATGCTTTCAGGTGTTTAGTTCTTTCTAGGGTTTTAGCTTCCAGCTTTCCAGGGTCCCTTAGTGTTTGCCCTTTAGACCTCCAAGCTTTAGCACTGCCCTGCTCCTCTGCTGTTCTGGCTTTCGGCTCTGGCTTCTAGCCCTCTACTCTACCCTTTTGGAGCTCCTAGAGCTTCTAGGTGCTTTAGAGCCCTTTCTGCTTAGAGCTCTTAGCGTTTCCAGGGCTTTTGACTTCCTTAGAGCTTCTTAGCGTGTTTAGAGCTTTCACGAGTGTTTAGGGCCTTTGAGAGTGCCTTAGAGCCTTTAGAGTCTCTGGTCTTTGGGGCTTTATGGGCTCCTAGAGTGTTTAGAGCTTTGATTTTAGGCCTTAGAGTGTTCTAGAGGCTTCTTAGAGTGTTTAGAGCTTTTAGAGTGTTTAGAGCTTTAGAGTGTTTAGAGCTTTTAGAGTGTTTAGAGCTTTTAGAGTGTTTAGAGCTTTTAGAGTGTTTAGAGCTTTAGAGTGTTTAGAGCTTTTAGAGTGTTTAGAGCTTTAGAGCTTTTAGAGTGTTTAGAGCTTTAGAGCTTTAGAGCTTTTAGAATTATTTAAGTAGTTAATTATTTATTCAAAGAAGAAACCGATTAAACAATCTTTATAAAGATGGTTAAACTTTCTTTATAAAGAAGATCTTTTCAAGAAAAGAATCCTCGAAAATTTTCGAGTAAAATCTGATTTTCTTTTTAGAAAAAGAGGAAATTAGTGAAATTAGTGAAATTGGCGTTTGCCAGAAGGGATTTGTTTGCAAAAGGCCAGAAGGGTTTTTTTTCTAGGCTTCTTTGTGCAATGGGTGATGTCATCGGCGATTCTCCTTGTCGGCTTTTGCACTTTCGTCTATATTGGATTCCCCGGTTTCTACCCGTTGGCAATGCTTGGTTGGTTTGAATTGTACGATGTTTTTGAAAACACTAGCTGCTTATCTGGAAGTCACACTAAATTTTGAGAACAATTTGAGAACATTTGACTAGTTTTGAGACGATTTCGTTACCCAACTTTGAACGCGCTACTTTACTCAAGGTTTACTCAAGTTTTTAACAATTCTGAAAACACTAGCTGCTTATCTGGAAGTCACACTAAATTCTGAAAACAAAATTTCACTATTTAGTGAAGTTGGAAAGAAGTTGATTTTGGCCGAATCTATCGGTGCATAATCTGCAGCTTTTAAGCATTTCTGTAAACCATTGCGTGGTTTATTTCTCAGCCTGGAACGCATTCTATTGTTTAACAATAAAAGCTGGATGTTTGGTGCCTTTTGGTGATCTGCTACTCGAGCTAACTTTGACCCCTCTAGTTTCTAGCCTCAAGGTTATCCCCACCCGCGCCCACCCGATCCATTCTCTAAGCTGGACATCACAGCAACTCTTTTTCCAGGTGGAATGTTTTGGTCGATCGGGAATTCGATGGCGATTCCAGTGATCTCGCGGCTCGGGATGGCGCTTGGGATTCTCATCTGGAACACAACGAATTGTTTGACTGGATGGGCGGGTGGAAGGTTTGAAGGGAGATTTGCTTGGCTAGGTTTTAGAAGTACAGTACTTTTAGAAGTACAATAGGTTTAGAAGTACAATAGTTTTAGAAGTACAGTACTTATAGAAGTACAGTACTTTTAGAAGTACAATAGGTTTAGAAGTACAATAGGTTTAGAAGTACAATACTTTTAGAAGTACAGTACTTATAGAAGTACAGTACTTTTAGAAGTACAGTACTTTTAGAAGTACAATAGGTTTAGAAGTACAATAGTTTTAGAAGTACAGTACTTTTAGAAGTACAGTACTTTTAGAAGTACAATAGGTTTAGAAGTACAATTGTTTTAGAAGTACAGTACTTTTAGAAGTACAGTACTTATAGAAGTACAGTACTTATAGAAGTACAGTACAGAAGTACAGTACTTTTAGAAGTTCCTTTAGAATCCATTTGTATTCCCTAGAAAATTCTAGATTCGGTCTTTTCGGCATGAAAGCAAATCCACCAGAGAGCTCGATTCTCAACTATTTTGGGCTCTCGTTGGTGCTTGTTGGGTGAGTTTTTGTTCTCATTTCCCACACAAGAGTCCGCCAGAAGGCGTGCGTTTACAAAGCGAGCGCAAAGTACATCTGAAAAAGAAGACAAGTGAAAAAGAAGACAAAATTTTTAGTGGTTTTCTTTTCTCTCGAATCCGAGGTGGCAAAGCGGAAGAGGAGCCGGCCGAGGGAAAAAGGATCACTTTGCATCTGGTAATTATATAAAATAGTAATTAGATTGTGAATATGAGAGTTAGAATATGAGAATTAGAATATGAGAGTTAGAATATGAGAATTAGAATCTAATAATTAGCTAGCTCTTTTCTTATATTGTGGCAAAGCGGAAGAGGAGCCGGCCGAGGGGAAAAATGGGGGGAGCTGAGCTCTAACCGAGAAAAAGGGGAGCTCTAACCGACAATAGCAGCGACTATTGTCTCAGCGACAATAGCAATAAACCTTCAGTTATTCAAAAATAACCTTTTCAAACCATTCTATTCAAGAATAACACCAGCGAAAACTCGACAGAAACGGTGTGTGTCATTTTTCTTTGCCCAGCTTTTCTTTAAAGCTTGAATTTAAATTCAAATCTTTAAATTCAATTCTTTAAATTCAAATCTTTAAATTCAATTCTTTAAATTCAAATCTACAGCACTGGAGAATGAAATATGATATTTGAAAGATGAAAAACGTGGAATTAGGCTCGCGTTGGAATTTTCTCATTTCTAAAAGGCACCAACTTAAGCTGGCCTTTGACTCGAGCTTCAAGTCTAACTTATAGCTTATATAGCTTATACACGCTGGCTCGACAGGCGCTGCGGTGGTCTAGTGGATAGTCTGCACTTACAAGGAAAGGCAGTAGAAATGGAAAAAATTCCAAGTTGAACCTACAGCACTGGGCAATGGAAAATGATATTTGAAAAACGATCGTCACTTTCGCGCGTCTGTAACTCCGTTGTCTTTGAGTTTAAACGATTAGTGTTATACATTTTCTGAAAGCTCTTTTCAAGGGCTACACAATGGTAATATTAATATTTAGAAATACGGTAAAGACAAGGGAGTTATAGACGCGTGAAAGTGACGATCTTTTTTCAAATATCATATTTCATTGTCCAGTAGTGTATATCGATCGAAAAAGCTATCTGTATCGTAGTCTTATTTAAAAATAAACTAGAGAGGTCTAGAGAGGTCTAGAGGGGTCTAGAGAGGTCTAGAGAGGTCTAGAGAGGTCTAGAGAGGTCTAGAGGGGTCTAGAGGGGTCTAGAGAGGTCTAGAGAGGTCTAGAGAGGTCTAGAGAGATTCTTTCAAAGCTAGCGATGACTTGCTTACTTCTAAAGCTTCTTTTCAGGTTGAATTTCGCTTGATTTTCAAATCCATAAACTCAAATCCTTAAATTCAAATCCTTAAATTCAAATCCTTAAATTCAAATCCTTAAATTCAAATCATTAAATTCAAATCATTAAATTCAAATCTATAAACTCAAATCTTTAAATTCAATTCTTTAAATTCCCCAATTTCTATATGAATTTATTATCTCAAATTTAGCATGACGCGGAAAATGAAAAGTTGAGTGCAACGCCTGAGCAATCCGATGATGAGGTTTTGAATCGAACGACGAAAGTTGATGGAGCCGAAGTGAGACAAGAAATGGGGGCACGAGGACGAGGAGTGTCAGTGAAATGTTTTGCATAGAGATTGAAATTGGATTACCGATCAGGGAAAATCAAAACAATAGTAAAGAATTGAAAGGAAAAATAAATGACCGGAGAAGGGATTGAACCCTCGACCCTTTGACCCCCAGCCTTTCCGTGCTCTGAGCTCTAACCGACTGAGCCATTTGGTCCCTTGATCGCGAAGAGAAAAAGGAAAGACAAGGGAGACAAAGAAAAAAAAAAGGAGAAATACGTTGAGGAAGTCAGGTCAAAAATCAGTCAAAAGCCTAGATAAGGCTTTTTTTCACCTCATGGGAACATGACCTCATGGTGTAGTGGATAAGTATCTTGTTTCCAGAGCGAACGGTCAGATATTTGCTCGGGTTCGATGCCTTTCACTGCTTTTCATTTTGTTTCGATGTCTAATTGCTCGAATTCAATCTATTTTAACTTATCATAAAATCATGATTAAAATTATAAAATAAAATATTATAAAATCTTGATAAAAAACGAAAAAAGGAATTTTTGTGGTAGATGCCATTCGGTCAGAGAAATTTAGGGCTGACTTTTGGGTTTTGAAAGCATCCTTGATATGCTGCCTAATGCCTCACTGTAGCTATAGCTGCCTAATGCCTCACTGTGCCTTATAGCTGGGATTTAGACCTTTAGCTGGACCTTATAGCTGAGATTTATAGCCTATAGGCCTTAATTTTAGTACAAGCCTATATACTGCTGATAATTGAAGATCTTGAAATTTTAAACAAATTTCTAGCGATTCTGGAACGCACAAGAGCATCAGAGCTCATAAAAATCGTTTAATTTTAGTACAAGCCTATATACTGCTGATAATTGAAGATCTTGAAATTTTAAACAAATTTCTAGCGATTCTGGAACGCACAAGAACATCTGAGCTCATAAAAATCGCTTTATTCCGGAAATTTTTGAGTCCGGGAACCGAACCAGGACCCTCAGATTGGTAGCCGAGCGCGCTAGCCACTCGACCACCGGGAGTTTTGCTTACTTTTGAAAGCTAAGAAGTTCCATAATTTCCGTGATATCCAGATCGGAAGAATAACAGTTTAATTTGGCAGAATCTCTGTGTTTTTTCGGTTTTGAGAGCTTGATTCGAGATCTTCAATAATTAAGTGAAAAATTTATAAAATTCAACCAAATCAAGTGTTTTTCGTAAATCTGGAACTCACAGCACATTTTGTGTCTTTCGTTTCAGCGGAATTCCTTCTTGCTTTGATCTCAGGTTGTTTCTATGGTTTAACGTTCGTCCCCAGTGATCGTTATGCAGGATAATCCCGAGAGATTTCCCTTTATCCAACGGTTAGTGTTAGCGGCAGCTTATGGAGCTTAGAAAGCCTTTATGCACCTTTATAAAGCACCTAAAGCCTCTAGAAAGCCATAGTTCAGCAAATCGACTCGAATTTGTTTTCAGGACGGGATGAGCTGCATCTTTTCGCATTATTTCGGCATTTTGTCACTGGCACCGCGCTTTTCGTCGGCTATTCGATATTCAAGTAAATAAAGTACTTTAGACTACTATTTACAGTACGTTCTCAAGAAAAACAAGCCAACTTAATCAACAACGCAATCACTCTACCAGCTTTTGGCGGTGGCTTGTTGTGGGCAATCGCACAATCGTCATTTTTCATCGCAAACGATAACTTGTCCCAAGTAAGATTGCTGAGCTCCTAAACGCACTCTTTCTAGTGCACTGAGAAAATAGAAACCTACTAGTTTCATTGAATCAAAAAAAGAAAAGAAATTGGCGGAGGGTGGACTCGAACCCGAGCAAGGGCCGAAAATCGCTTTGTATCCAAGCCCCTTATCCACTAGGCCACCACGTCACATTGACCAGGCCAGCGAGAAAAGCCTTTTAACCTGGGTTGGGGGGTTTTAGCTGGGCTGGTTGCTTTGTGAGTTTTGACGCACCGTTCTTAAGCGTGGCCCATCTCGGCTGGCCTATCTACTGTAACCAGCCTATCTACCGTAGGGCTTGCCCTAGCTACCGTATTCCTAATCTAGGCCAGTTACCGTAACCATTAGACTACAATATCTTCAATTGACATGTCAGTTCACCCCTACTGGGCGCCTGGCGATTACGGTAGCTAGGAGAGGGATTACGGTAGCTAGGAGAGGGATTACTGTAACTAGAGAAGGATTACTGTAGCTAGGAGAGGGATTACTGTAGCTAGGAGAAGGATTACTGTAGCTAGGAGAGGGATTATTGTAGCTAGGGAGAGGGATTACTGTAGCTGGGAGAAGGATTACTGTAGCTAGGAGAGGGATTACTGTAGCTAGGAGAAGGATTACTGTAGCTAGGAGAGGGATTATTGTAGCTAGGAGAGGGATTACTGTAGCTAGGAGAAGGATTACTGTAGCTAGGAGAGGGATTACGGTAGCTAGGAGAAGCAAGTGTTTGTGCACTTTGAAAAGTCTGACTGACCATAGTAACTAGGGCAGAGCAAAACTTGCGCCGCCGGGACTCGAACCCACTACCTTTTCTCTAATCGGGTCATTGTGCTAAACATTACACTACAAGGCACTTGATCTCCCTTACTCCAGAAAGACTGTACGTACTGTACTTTGAGCTGAATTCTGTAAACGAAGCCTTTCTATTGCGCTGAATTCAGGAAACCAATTTGCAGGCTGTCACTTTCCCGATCATCACCACTCTGCCCGGTTGTGTGGCCGCTTTGTGGAGCATTTTTTATTTCAAAGAGATTCAGGTGAGGAAAGAAAGTACAGTAGTCAAAGTACGGTTGTTAAACAAAGTACAGTCGTCCAGTAAGTTTGTAAACGCGAGTTTTCTAGCATCAAAGTTTTGTTATACTTCTTGAGTCGAGTTTCCGCTAGTCTTTTCAAGTGGTAGGTGAAGGGATTCGAACCCACCTCTTGATCTCAATTCATTCCGTAGACAACCACACTAGTCACTACACTACGATGATCGTTTAAAGAGAAGCAGCATTTTCCGTTTGTCTGCCCGTCTGTCTGTCTGTCCGTCTGTCCATCCGTCCGTCCGTTCGTCCGCCTGTCCGTCTGCCCATCTGTCCGTCTGTCTGCCCGTCTTTCCGTCTGTCCCAGTCCGTCCGTCCGTCTGTCTGTCTGTCTATCCGTCCGTCTGTCCGTCCGTCTGTCTGTCCGTCTGTCTGTCCGTCTGTCTGCCCGTCTGTCCGTCCATCTGTTCGTCCGTCCGGTCTGTCTGTCTGCCCGTCTGTCCGTCTGTCCGTCTGTCCGTCTGTCCGTCTGTCCGTCTGTCCATCCGTCCGTCCGTTCGTCCCCGCCTGTCTGTCGGTCCGTCTGTCTATCTGTCTATCCGTCCGTCTGTCCGTCCGTCTGTCTGTCTGTCTGTCTGCCCGTCTGCCCGTCTGTCCGTCCGTCTGTCTGTCCGTCTGTCCATCCGTCTGTCCGTCTGTCTATCTGTCTGTCCGTCCGTCCGTCTGAAGCTATGAAGCAATGAAAAGCTTTAATCCATAGCTTTATTTCTAATAAACCTTTCCCTACCTAGATTTCTTAAAGATTCTTTAAAAAAAACCTTCCCAAACCCTCCCAAAAAGCTTTGCAGGGTAAGCGCAACTTCATCTTGATGGCGATCGCTGTCTCCATCACGCGTTGGTGCACTCGATTGTCCGGACTCTCAAAAAGTCATCAAACTATAGATTATTGTAGAATTTTTTTGCAATTTTTCCCAATATTTTCATTATTCCTTTTCTTCTGATCTCTTTTTTACATTCATTTCCTTTTTTTTGTTTCAGTTCGAAATCTTTTTCCCTCTTTTCGTTTTTCACGTTTCGAAATTTGTGATTTAAATGAGCCTTTAAAATATTGAAGTTTTCGAGTTCAAAATGATTCAAAATTCGAGTTTTAAAATTATTTTAGACTTAGAAAAGATAAAAATAAAGATTTTTTGAGTTTTTTATCAAACAAATCGATTACAAAATTCGAATTTCGAATAAGAATTTGGAGAAAATTCGAGATAAACTTTGATCCTATTAGTCACTGTTTTAAGGAAGACAATGGCTTAACAGAAGCTCTCTAGACCTCTCTAGACCTCTTGAACCTCTCCTGAACCTCTCTAGACCTCTCTGGACCTCTCTAGACTATCTCTAGACCTCTCCTGAACCTCTCCTGGGTGCTCCTAGACCTCTCTAGACCTCTCTAGACCTCTCTGGAGCCTCTCTAGACCT